GCTCTATGATCACCTATTTGCAGTCTTGCTTGACTGAAAGCGCTCTCTGATGCAACAATTGAAGCTTGAATAGATAAAATATCCGGAGCCATCCTTGCAAGAACGGGAAAATATTTTTCCCTTGCCTTCCACCATTCCAAAAGATCAAAAGTGCCGTCTGGATTCTCCTTTTCAAGTCCCTGCGACAAATAAACTTGAAGCTCATTTAGATGTGAAGTTTCATCATAATTATCACCTTGAGAACCCCTGAACTCCGTCCAAGATTTAAGTGCTTTTAAGCCCGCAGCTCTTTTAGACGATTGTGAACTAGACGAAGTAGGGGTTGGAACATTTGGCCTAGCATGCTCTAAGGCAAGTTGATAATCATTATAAATTGTTTGAGCATTAATTTTAATTGAGGCTTTTGCATCTGCAAGTGTAGCAAATTCCTCATTTGAAAGATCTAAAGCCTTATAAATATTTGAGTACCAAAAATGAGGACCTCCTAATTTCATTGTAGGATTTAACATTGCAGCAACACCATAAATAGGAGGGATAGGGAAAAAATATTTTTTAAACTTTTCTTTCATTGCATTTATAGCAAGTTGATAAATTTCCCCACCCTCCGAAAATTCAACAAACAAATCACATAGTGCTGCAATATAAACTAAACAGTTTGAAATAGTAGGATAATATTGCCCAGAAAATGCATTTGTAGCAATTTGAAAATGTTCTAAAAAATCTATAAGAATTTTAACATTCGTCCAATCTTGAGTAGTAAGCATTTCATCATCATCCTCACCACCTACCCGAGCATTAAACGTTGCATTAATTGGGTTTCTATATTCATATGCAACTACTAAACTTTCGTACATACAATTCCATATAGTCGGGCAAGCTTTAGGAACATTTCTTTCTCTAAGGCCATATTCATCACATTTTTTAAAATATTCTCTAAGTCTACTTCTACGGTTTGAATAAAAAAGCCAATTAAGAGTCATTCTAACCTTTTCAATTTCTAAATTTAAAATTCGCATACCATCACCGACAATTAAATGATAAATATGACAAATACATCTAACATGGAATATATCCCTAAATGCAGGATTTAGTGTTGTTGTAAATATGCCTATAGCACTAGTGTTACTAGCAGCATTATCCATAGAAATTGTCATTATTTTATCTCTAAAGCAAAAATATCTACAAATATCTGCAACAGTGTTAGCTATAAACTTACCTGTGTGACATGAATTAATTATTCTATACGCAATAATGCGTTTTTGCATTGTCCACTCCTCATCTATCCAATGACTTGTAACAGTTAGATAATCACAATCATTACCACTTCTACCAATATCAGTAGTAATAGAAATCCGATTACTTATATGAGTAAATAAATACCGCAAATATTGTTCATATTCATGTTTATATTTATAAATATCGCTCTTAACTGTTGCGCGAGGCCAACCTTTATAAGTAGGATTAAAAACTCTTCTAATATAATGCACCCAATTAGGATTAGAGGGAAAAGAATAGGGTAAGCACATAACGGTAACCATCTTTGCTAATTCTTCACGATCTCTATTTGGATCGTAATATAAAATACCTCCGGTCACAGTGTTAATTCCTGGTTGAACTAGATTTGAACCTGTACTAGGGTTAACATGAGAATCTACATGTGTTCCCTCTAGCTGCGCTTTTATTTGTAAATATCTAACTTTATCTCTAGGGTGTGTTTTTATGTGCCTAGTCAAACTACTCGTGCCGCTACGGTCTCCAGTATATTTATGCGCCAGTAATTTCCCACATTTTTTACACTTAGCCTTATTTTGTTCTCTTACTTGAGTAAAAAAATTCCAAACTAATGATGTTTCTAGGCGTTTAGGAGGTTGTCTATTAAAATTAGGGGTTTCTACAGGTGAGACGGGCGGTACATCAGTTGGGTTATTAACAGGACTAGTAGATGTATCATCTAAATCCGGTTGAGTTTCATCTTCATCCTCATTTTCCTCATCATTTTCAAAGATAGTTTGATTAGGATAAAGAGCATTCATAGTTTCATCATCTAAATTTTGACCTGGTGCAACATTATGACAAAATTGACTACCGGAAAATTGAAAACAGGGGTTATCACTATCAAGAATAATAGGAGCAGCAGGACGTCTATCAGGTCTGGGTCGGGGAGCCGGGGGAAGGGTAGTAGGTTGGCTACTACTTTCACCAGTTTTAGCTTTACCCTTACCACCAAAAATATTTTTCAAAGAAAATGTCATATTAATTATAATTATACTAAATAAAACTAACAAAACTATAATATTAAAACTTAAGAGTTGGAACGCGTTTACCGAATTGCCGAACAACTTCTTGAAAATTGAAAATCGTTGAAGACTTGAATACTTCAATTCACCAACTTCACAATTTTTCACGAAATTTCAACAATAAAATAAGCAATGAGATTGAGAGAGATTGATGAATTGGTGAGTAAAAATGAAAGAATGAGGGGGTATTTATAGTTGAGAATTGGGAAAAAGTGTAATTATATAAAGTTTGGGGTTAAAATAAAATTTGGGGGCCAAATGACTATTTTTGAAAGTTCTAAACGGTCAAAATTGCAGCCCAACGGCTACTTTTTTAATTTTTGACCGTTGCTATTTTTTTTTAAAACAAAAAAAATTTTAAAAATAGCCGTTAGGCCCGGTAAGACCGACCCAGGTCCGCCAGGCGGTCTCGGGCTTAGCGGTCCCGGGCTCATGGGCTATTTTATCATACCCGGCCCACCCTGGGCTTTTTGCACCATTAAGGACCGGCCCACCAGGCCCATTTAGCCCGTTAGGACCGCGGGCCCAGTCCGGTCCCGGTCCCAGCCCGGCCCACCATACAACACTAAGTTCTGAGGACTTTAAACCACATGAAAGTAACAATCTCTTCCCCCATTTTTCCCACTCTAATGTGGTCTGATCTTTCTCCGGACACCGCGGATAGCTGGAGCTTAGTGTTCCGGGCTGTCCTTTTCTCCGGCACACTCAAAGCAATAGTGTGCTTACAACTCCACAATGAAGCAAGTTAACTTTGCCAATAGCACGTATCATTTGTATCATTAAAGAATGACCAATACCAGCTTACTGAAAAACATGACATTGATGATCAACTTGCAATGCAGGCAAGCGTATTAGTTACTCCACATTGTACTTCCACGAGGAAAAGAAATCAAATCGATTGATTGCAAAATATCAACATGTCACCACAATGTATTAATCATATTTAGATCATGTAGCCCACTCTCATTTGAACACCGCAAACTACTTTATCTAGCTAAAACTTTTAATATTCACATTCATGTAAAATCTCAAGTCTCCATGAAAAGCTTAAACCTTGGAACAACTCCATATTGGCATTGTTGCGTCAACCCTATTTACCTCTTTAGTCCATTTGCAGAGGAACTGTTTCTTTTTTGACACCATTATTACCCAAGTCAGCAGCCACCTTGGCAGCCCGATTCAGAGCATCTGAAACCCAAAGAGCTCCCTTGGAGAAGTAACTACTGTTAACCACAGTAGTTGCAGCAGCTACGGCTGTTTTCCCTGTAAAAGACACAGCGGACATGGTAAGTTCAGAAAGATGGTACTTCTCGTCCACGGATTTTACAGTCTCCATGCCAGACTGAATTCTATCAGTAAGCCCCACTCTCTTGCTGAGCTCTGCCCCCTTTGCTACTGCGGTGGATGAGACCTGATATGATTCATCAAATGCTTTAGCTTTGGTTAGCGCATCCTTACTTAGTTCATATCCCTTCACTATCATGGTTTCAACTACGTGCTGTGCCATGGTCACAGCTTCTCCAGGAGTTGAAATGAACTCATTTGTGTGAGTGACCTGCTAGTTTACATCATAATTTCATCAACAACATCAGGAAAGCTGCAGCATAAAGAGAACCCCTGGAAAGTGGAAATAGGGGAACAAAAAATAAAAGAAAGACTGTTTGGATGGAGAAGTGGGTTGGTAAAGAAGTGCTTTGTTCTGACATCTCAACTGACATACTTCTGCCAATAGAATTTATAGCTTTCCGAGTGAACTTTTCCCAAAACAATTAAAAAGAATCAACCTGATCTTTTGGAAACTAAATTATTGTGACAATACAGAAATACTTTTACCAAGACAAGGATAACAAAAGGAAATGAAGACCAGTAAAGCTTATACTCCCTCCATTTCAATTTATGTGAACCTATTTCCTTTTTAATCCGTGCCAAAAAGAATGACCCCTTTCCATATCTAGAAACAATTTACCTTTATGCAATAATTTATAGTCACACAAAATATATGTACCTCATTTTACACCACAAATTCAAAAGTCTTCTCTTTTTTCTTAAACTTCGTGCTCAGTCAAATAGGTTCACATAAATTGAAACGGAGGTAGTATTAACTAAGTATCCTCAGCTCTAGAGCTCAACGAAAAACTGCTATGCATGAGGAGCTCAGTTCACAAACTGGATACTCTTTGCCGTGTGAGCTATCCCCTCGCAAATGAGTCCTTAGGGGCTGTCTCCTATTACTTTACCCATGAATTATATAAAATTTATTTACATTTAACCTCATGGACAAGCAATAAGAGAGTTGATTGTCCAGAAAAAACAAGGCAAACTTTAATTAAAAAAGAGATCAAACGCAAAAAACTACCGCATAGCTGCTTCCATTCTCCACCTTATCCCTAGAGTTATTCCAAGGATCATATTCATCTATTTGTGCTTCCAAGCGAGATACACGAACACATTGATCTAATATAGTGGATCTCTGAATCAAGGTTAACAAAGTTAAGAATTTATCTGACACATAATATCATGTATAAATTTAGTGAATGTATAGCAGCTAAGAAATAATTCTAGCACTTATATTCGATGTGCATATGTATAATTAAAATAGAGAGAACAAGACAAGGAAGAAGAAGAGCACAAGGATAGCACACAGAGCTATTTAAAAGGAATTTCCAGAGTTGCGCAAGCTGTTAATTTATGTTCAGCTAGTAATCAAAAGGCTAGTACACTTACAAGTGGAGAAAAACAAGAGACCAATCAAAATTAGAAGTTCAAACAATATAAAGCAAATTGACGTCTAACTACTTAGGAATCTAGATATAAATACAAATATAGTATTTTCTTTCAATGACGCTTCTAAAAGTGGAGTTTAGCAAGCTACTGCTAGCTCCTATTTTGGTAGGTAATTGACTACCTCTCTCTGTTAAAACAGAGAATTTAAAAGCTTTGAAGGAGACAGTAAGAAGAAACCTAACAAACATCATTCCGAGATTTTACTGGTTAATTTTAACTTTTATAGAAGTTGCTGAAGACGATCCTATTGATGTACATCTTGGTGGTATCAGAAGTATAAACTTGACCCAATAGCACGTAAACATGCAGCATTAAACATTTTACATAATTCACCTTGCCGTTTATTTCTGCGAAATAGAACTATCCTAATAATGGAGTAAAGCAGAAACTTACACTAAGTAATATAGCATTTTCCAGCGCATAAGTATCTTCGAACGTAACATAGGCTATAGAAGCATATTCGCTCAATCTGCATTCAGTAAAGGCAACTATTAAAATCAGGAAAGGGTAAACATCGTCCAGTTTGTTCATACAACTAATTAATGAAAGCATCAAGCTATCTGTCTCTGTTCCTTTCTTTAAAGTTTAAACATTCTACTGACTAATAAAGTCTGGGATGCCTTATAGTGAGTATCAGGACATACATCATATCCTTCACTGAACACAAGAGGCACATGCACATGGGTTTGCTAATGACATTATCAGATGCATGACCTTGTTCTCTCTACTGCAAACGTCTCAGAAATATCAACCTTAATAGAATCACATACTCGCTTCTTCACATTTCAATATTCGATATATTCAGAAGTAACAGGGGAAAAAAGCGGCAAGTTGTGTCTTATTTGACATAGTTCGTAAGACACAGTTGCAGTACGCCATGCAAACATAATAATATTGATTAGGTATTCAGCCAGTAACTCTCAAATTATAGAGCAATTCTGGAAACAAATTAAATCACCAAGAAAAAGTTTACAGCACCAACAATAATCAGCTCGAAATCACAACTATGCTGTAGCAGAAACTGCAGACTCAAAACGAATGAAAAGCTACCTGATGATCTCTACTAGTTCAATTTCACCACAGTGAGAGAAAAATTCATAGACATCTTTCTCCGTAGCTTTGGGAGAAAGACTTGTGACTTCCGCAGCGTAATGACCCAGATACATGGATATAGACACAGTTCAAACTCCCAAAATAAAGGTGAATTTACCTGATTAAATCAAGAATACAAATCATTCAGAGCTTCTGAAAGAACTGATATAAGCTAAACATAAAAGTTAAACAAAGTCCATCAATATCCATCACCACATTAATACTTGTTAATTCATGGCTAATGAAGGCCACATTTAAAGAAGGAATACTGCAAATGCTAAACTTCCATATTTGCAGATACTAGTTTCCTACGAGTATTCGCAAATGCTGACTTTCAATATTTGAATTTCAAGTGAAATATAAAAGTATTCGTCTGGAGATGCAATTTAAGGGAAATACTAGTCTTCGTACCATCATAAATCTTCAAGTTTTTTTCTAAGCAAGTTCACCGCTAAACACAAAATCAACTTCCAAAAATTTTTTATCAACTTCAAATTCAACTATTCCTTTTTCTTTTCAAAATTGTGCAAATGCCTACTAAACAATTTGACCTTGAAGAGAAATTAGGCGTTCTAACAAAAGCATAGATTTTCTAAATCTCATACTGTCATATTTACAAGAATAATTCACGAATAAAATCGGAAGGTGAAAAGTTCATAGAATTGGAGATAATACATACTTATTAGGGTAAAGCGAAGGGATTTCAGTACTCAGAATCCGTACCTTAAAAGGAGGAAAGATTGAATTTACAAATGCATATAGAGTTCAATAAACAAACAGAAGAATATTTATTGGAATTGGAAAAATGATACGAATCAGAATTTACCTAATAATGTGGTCAACGGAATGTAGCAAGGGCCAACTGTTTGCTTGCGAGTTGCGGCCTTTAAAAGGGCTCTCGACCTGTTGGCATCTCTGACGCGCAAATGCAGCCGTGATACAATCAACTCTTATACTATAGAAGTTCTATATTAATATACCCTCTTGTATTTAAAATAAAGCAAGTATGTCCCTATATTATGGATATATTCAATATAAATATTAACTTGAGTGATATTTTCATTTTGCTAAGGTGAATAATTAGGTTACAGTCACAAAAATTATGTATTTAGTTATATAACATTTAAGACGGACAATAAACATTTATTCAATAATAGATGATAAACATAAACATGTATCTTTCAAAACATTTAAATGGGAAATGACTCACAAATCACTTAATAAGATGTACCAATAATATTAATAACTCTATTGGATGTTAAACACGTACACAATTTGTATTTTCTAAATTATAATATTTTGCATAGAATATAACCCTTCAAAGATTTATTTATATTCCGCTTTTACAAAATTATCTTTAGTATAACTTATTTTAAAATCTTACCTTTTTAATTAAAGGGATTTTTACATTCCTATGCTATATAGTAAACTATATTACCCTCCATGCTTAACGTTTAATATAATTACCTTTTATATACCTAATTACCATTTATGTACATTTTAGAAGTTTTAATGGTATTAATCAATCTCCTAATTTAACTCTACCTATATTCCCATTCCCCCCAAGTTTCTATCTCCAAATCCCATCTCCTCACCCACGTATCAAACCACACCCCACGATTTCCTCTTCAATCACCCACTATTTTCTCTTCTAAAACCAGCGAAAATCTGTAACCCCTCCACCATTGACAACTATTAAAAACCTTTGAAGCTTTGAATTCGAATTTGGATTTTCAAAAGATATTGTTTGTTTAGATTGGATGTTGTTGCAAAGAATTGAGAATTCTCTCTACGTCACTCTCTATCTCTCAATCCCAAATTTCAGTAATATAAAGCAAAGGAAAAGAGAGCAGCAATTCCACCATTGACCGCCATTAAAAAACTTTGAAGCTTTGAATTTGAATTTGGGTTTTCAAAAATCATTATTTGTTTGGATTGGGTGTTGTTGCAAATAATTGAGAATATGGATTGAAGTTTATATCTCCATTTTGAGGGGTTTTGGTGAAGATTAGACTTGGTTTTGGCTGAATTTCAGATTGAAACTCGAAGAAGAAAAAGAAGAAGAAGACATGACATACATTATATTGCAGAAATTGTAGAAAAATTGTATTCTGTTGTTTATTTATTTTTCTTTTATTCATTTAACTATTGTATGAAAGTTTAACAATATTGTATAAAAAATATATTTAAGTTGTATGATATTGTAGTTGTATATAATTGAGTAGAAATAATGTACGAAAATTGTAGATAAGTTGTATAATATATAATTAGTTGTATGAAATTTGTTTTTACTATGTAAAAATTGTATTTAAGTGGTATTATATTGTAGTTGTATATAATTGAGTAGAAATAATGTATGAAAATTGTAGATAAGTTGTATAATATATAATTAGTTGTATGAAATTTGTTTTTACTATGTATAAATCAGATACAAAATATACAAAAGACATATTGTATAAAATTTGTATTTAAGTTGTATGTTATTGTAGTTGTATTTAACTGGTTAGAAATAATGTGTGAAAGTTGTAGATAAGTTGTATGCCAACCTCAGTATTTTACATTTTAATTTTATGAATTGTATGATAACCATGTATAATGAATAATCCACGAGAGTTTGATTCATTATTACATTTCATGTCCTACCAATAGTTTTACTTTTGGTATATGTATCACTTATCTGTGAGTTGCTTCTTGATACACGTGATATTTTGAAGAAATAGAAATCAAAATTTAATTTCGCATATGTGTATCAAATCAATAGTGTGATACCAAAATAATACTGACATCAAAGAAATTAGTACTGTGGGACGAATTCCTTCTTTCAAATATCAGCGTAAAGCCTAATTTCTTTACTCCTCTTTTTTAAAATCACCTTCCCCTTTTGTTACCTTTTCTCTTTTCCAACATTTTATGGCCATGGCGGCATCCACCGACAGTGACATGAATGAAGAAGAAGTTAATTTATTACATCATGATATTCCAGCAATGAATATTGGTCCTGCTACTTCCAATTACCGAGATAAACTACTCACGCACACAAATGATCTTTATGACGGCACCTCTCAATCCCTTGCTCAAAACTTTCAACACCTTGATTTAACTGATGAAAATATAATCCCTCCAGCCATCCACACTGTACATAGGACCTAGAGCGTGGGATAGGTATTAATTAGATATAGGGGAACTTACACTTGGAATTAGATTCTGAACTAATTAATTCACTTTTCAAAAGAAAAGGTTTAATTAGAGCCTAATGATAGTATTCTTAGAGAATTGATCGAACTGTAACTCACCGACAGAGTTAGAAGGTGGAGAAAGACAGAATCTGGAGAGAAGAGGGGAGAGAGGAGGGAAAAAAAGGAAAATGATGTAACTAAATCCTTTAATTGAAGACACTAATAATGGATTGAGAGTCTTTTAAGGTAGAATGTATATATTTTGTAAACAAAACTTGTGTAGGTAGGGTAATTTACTAAACATTAACATTTAGGGTAATAAAGTTTTCAATAGTGTATAAGAATGAAAAAAATTCTTAATGAAATTATGTACAACTTTCCATCTCCTAAAAACTCTCCCTTGAGATTCTCTCTCACTTAAAAGATATTTCTTTCTCATTCTTTTGTAATCACTTTTTCTATGTAAATATAATAATATATATTTTATTATATACATTTAATCATATATACATTATATTTTGTTTCCCTCAAATTTGCTTCTTCTTTATTTCCCCATCAGTGGAAACGTGTTTACTTCCCCCTATTCTTTTTATAATATATATATAACCTTCTACAAGTATACAAGAGACGCATACCAACTACGGCTAGTACCTATTTTTAGGGAATATTGAGCATTTGTTATGAGGTAGTGTTGTAATGGTAACCTAATATGTATATACTAATAATTAATAATTAACAAATTGGAGAACATTTAGGGCCAAACTATACGCTTATACCCCTTAAATAGGAAAAATTCCATATGTTTCAAATATACTTCATCTAACACATTTCCCTTAAATAGGTATAGTTACCATATTTTTAGAGTATATTTTTAACATATATATGTCGTACAATTTGTAATTCAAAAGAAAGTTGTATATTATGGAATATTTTAAAAATCCTTAAGTAACTATGAAAATTTCCCAAGTTGGATGTCGTTCATTTTGGTGGAAGATTTTCATTATATAATGGGTTTAATAGTTTTCTATTCTAAGATTCCTTTTCTTATACACCTGTATACGGCAAAAATCAAAGGGTCCGATTTTGTGACCGCTGAGGCACCTCGTAAATATCGTCCCCAGAAGGCTCGAAGTTCAGCTTGGGGGTCGATTCTGAGGGTTCTCAATGATCAACCTCGAGGTAATGCAAATCAGCAGCTATGATGGAATAACGGGAAGTTTCCAAGGCATACGATTAAAGCTGACCAAGACTCTTAGGCTAGTTCAAGCCCGTACCGTGGTATTAAATGGTTGTACCAGCCATATATCTTTATAATAAATGTACTTGTACTATTTTGGGATTCCCTGATATATAAAGGGGATCATTGTCATTTTGTAAGACTCTCCTCATACTTACAACATTCAATACAAGAACATTCTCTCTACTTTCTAACTTAAACATATTCTCTTGATTTCATACTTACATTTATTGCTTACATTTGTTGTGTTCTATTTATTGTTCTTCATTTATTGCTCATTATTGGATATAAAGAGCCTTCATCAAAGCTCTCTATATTGTTAGTCTTTCATCGACTGCCCATAGCTCAGTGCCGAGCTCGACCTCGAGGCCCCGTATAATCAGGCTCAAGGCCCCGATTCTCAGCCGCATGGTTTGCTTAAACATATTATTTTCAAACTCTTATCTTATTTCTTAATCTCATACTTAGCATCTATTGCCTAAAAACTAGCATAAAACAAATCACGTATTTTTAGAACCACAAAATCAAATTTAATTGTAATTACCATTTTCAAGGTAAACAGTTTGGCGCCCACCGTGGGGATAAAAATAATAGTGATTGTTTTCTTGCTGGTTTACTACATAACGCAAGTTATCTTTCACAATTTTTCTTGTCCAAGAATCTTTGATTTCAGGTAAAAATGTCTAACTCAGTAAATGCATATGAAAACAACGGTCTTGAAGGCCATGGAGAGAATGGTGTAGCCGTTTCGGGTATTGGTGTACCACCACGCAACCCTGAGGACGCACCAGAGCTAATCCCTGCAGATGTGGTTTCACGTGATGCCCAATGCGTACGCCAAAGAGACCAATAAGAAGCTCAAAAAATCCTGGCTCGGGAGGAACAAGAGGTTAGCCTTCACGTTATTTTGAGATGTTGCAGGCACAACAACTGACAATTGCTCAACTGCAAAGCCACCAAAAAACCCCAAGTACAACGGCCCCGAAAACGGCCCCTCGAGCCGAACAGGAACCTGAAAGATCGAGTAACAATGGGTCAGCAGCCGACCCTACTATTATGAAGATGCTCGAAGACCTCACAAAGAGGATTAAGTCGGGCGAAAAGATGATAGAAGCCAACGAAAAAAAAGGTAGAGACCTACAACTCGAGGGTCGATCAGATCCCGAGCGCACCCTTATCCTGAAGGGTGTCGATTCGAAGAAATTCGTACAAAAACCATTCCCATCAGATGCCGCTCCAAAGCCCATCCCAAAGAAATTCAGAATGCCCGACCTACTGAAGTATAATGGAACCTCGGATCCTAACGAGCACGTCACAGCTTACACTTGTGCAGTAAAGGGAAATGATTTGAAGGACGACGAAATCGAATCCGTCCTGTTGAAGAAGTTTAGAGAAACACTTTCAAAAGGGGCCATGATGTGGTATCACAACCTAGCCCTAAATTCCATAGACTCATTTGCCATGTTGGCAGATTCTTTCATAAAGGCACATGTCGGTGTCGTCAA